TGATTTTAAATGCAAACGTTGTATTATGTAGATTTATGTGTGAACTTTGAACATTTTCAGTTAGGCATGTATTAGTAACTTGAGTTTGAAAATTGATATGATCTGTTCCAGTTGTTATCACTTAATAGGCAATCATCTTAATGTCCATCGCAACGCGGAAATTACTATCGCAATGCGAAATGAAAATCGCAACGAGAGAATCGCAATGCGAAATGAAAATCGCAACGCTAATTTTGCAATGCGAAATGAAAATCGCAACGAGGGAATCGCAATACGAAATGAAAATCGCAACGGGAATTTAATTTCGCGTTGCGATTTTCATTTTCGCGTTGCGATTCTCTCGTTGCGATTTTCATTTCGCATTGCGATAGTACTTTTTGCCTTCAACATAATGCAGATTGAAATCAACAAAATCAACCATTACATTTCAATCAATTAAACAAGCACAATAAGAATTATGTTAACATCAATTAAACAATCAACTTTTACAAATCACCTTTTACAAATCAATTAAACAATAAAAAATAAGCAATAATTATTAGAGAAAATAACATTTCTACTATTGAATCAACTTTTGCAGCCATACATCATTTTCACGCAGCTCACTTCTGAGATTAACCTGCATAAACCAAACATTTGCTCAAACAACACTTTCTACACATCTAAAACCTACAAACAGCAAATTATTGAATTCTAGGCACTTAACCAAACATTTTCAAACCACAAGCCTATAAACATACCAATTGTTTATGGACATTTTTATAACGCGGATGCAGGTAGGCAGCGTCTCGTATATATCGATCTAGCCATATAATGTCGAAACTACAAGCCTACTGCAGCTCTATCTATATCGGTGGGAGGTAGATACTTTATACTTCCTGTGATCAAACGGTCCAACGCCAAGCATACGAGAGGACCAAAATCCCCTCTGGGTCCTTTCGTTTGTTGTGGTGCGGTCTCATCTCTGCTAACTGTAATATTGAGCTTCTTTGGCTTCTTGTTTCCAGAACGAGTCCAATAATTTATCGCATCCAAGTATTTAGCCAAATAAGAGCTCCATCCCTTAATAATATCTCTTAAATCAGCCAATGATATGTAATTTCATGCTGTCATATACTATTGCCTTAAGGGATGGGATCTGAAGCTCGACGAGAAGCCAATGGTTACGTTCCAAAACAGGGATAAACACCTGCAATCATAAGTAATAATTCATTCATTTGCGCACTTATTTATGAATACCTTTAAACTCAATCTAAAATAAACACTAACCTTATCGACCTCCCACCATGCAGGATAAAGTTTAGCTTGTCCATTGCCCAACGCAAATGATTCATCTCGTTGATTCTTCAAGTGAACGGCGTTAAAAGACGTCGGCATAATTGTATACCGTATTTCTTTTATTTCCTTAAGTTTCCTAATTATTAGAAGACGTGACACCCACGCATCGATATGTTGTTTTACAAAAAAAGACATATATTAGTAACTTACATAAATTTACAAAAAAAATAATCAAATGAAAATATAAGAAAAATATAAGACTTACCCCTCCATCGAAATAGCCATTGTCTTCGACCCCTAATAACGCCCCACCAAGACCGATCAAGCAACAAATAGATATCATCATTGAGCTTGCATATGTCAGTGAAACACCCCTGGCTTCGCTCATGTAGATAAAAATCAACTGCGGTCTTAGCCCAAAGGGTGTTATCCAGAATTGTGTCCGGTAGTTGTTTCCTCTCCTCTTCAGATAGCGGTATGGTACTGGCCGGTAACTCATACGAGAGCCAACTTGAATCCATCATGTCCGACACGTCAGAGGGTTTCTCAAGAATCCTACATATGACGCCATGTGAATCGGGCTCTTGAATGGTGGGAGGGACCTTCAACGATGACAGTGGCCTCTTGAACGGTGGGAGGGGACTCTCGAGGAATGATAGGGGCCTCTTCAACGATAGGAGTGGACTCTTGAGGGATGATAGGCGAGTCGGGCTTCTTCTTGCGGTGTCTTCGCACTATTGGGGTATACGGAGACTTAATAGCACGTGCACGCCGTCTGATGCGAACTCTGTCGTGCAAGAAAAACCCGACGTAAAGCACCACCTTATCGGTCCACTAAATAAAAATACAAAATCAGTAAATAAACAGACATGATATTTAAACAGTGAAAACAAAGATAAATATATTTCAAACTTTCAACCAAAAGACAAAACAAAGACAAATACTAACTTCACAGTGTTAAAGTAAAAGTTTAGCATTTTGGCAGCAACCGAATAAATTTACTAAGCAATCTAAGTGAAATGGTTAATTTAAGTGAAATTACGAGTAAATTTATCATCAAGTTAAATATGGAAAATCTTAAACTTACCTCGTTGCGTAGAGTATGAACCTCATTCTGCAACGATACTACCATCTCACGTAGAGCGGCAACCTCACCACGTAAAGTAGACACCTCCACACCCATGCACCATCGTTATCGCGTAGAGTACCGATCTCCTCACGCAAGGCATTGACCTCATCACGTAACTCCCTTGACTCATCCCGTGGAGGTGGAGAACAGGGAGATAGAAGTCGTGGCATCTTTGTCGGTCGCCTATCATGAGGTGATGGTGGAGAAGAGACTCGATGTGGGGGATAGGTGATGGCTCTCGTTGTAGAGGTGTATAGTCGGGTCGATCAGGTGATGGCTCTGGGGTGAGGTGATGGCTCTCGAAGGAGGAAGTGGAGGCTGCTCATCTTCGTGCCATCAAAAAAACGCTGACTAGCTTGCCACCAATCAGTGGCAAGCTCAGCCTCCGTGGGTGTCAGTCTCATTAATGGAGTGTTGGCCTCCTAAAAATATAAAAACTAAAATAAGTTAAACGTCTACTATTAATAACTTGTTTGTATATGATGTATTTGTGTTAACTTACATTATTATTGTCGCATATGGTATTAAGTCTTCCCAATCCAACATACGTTTCCTCTTCCAGGAAATAGCCCTAGGAATATCATCTGAGGATTTTAATGCATATGTCCGCATGGGAAAGCCTCGAATATCCAAATCTACAAACAATATAATAACAAACATTAGTAATTGTTAAATAATTAATTATAATTTTAAAAACATTATATAGAAATTCTTACCTTAAAGGCCCAAAAAGCCTGACAAAGTGTATTTCGACCCATCGCCCCGCAAACTTTTGCGGTCATCAAAGGCAGACGACAACTTAGTCCAGGTAGCTTTCCATATATACGAACCCCACGGAAACAGATTCCATGCATTCCTCTACCAATAATATTAGCTCCTGAGGAATAGGTTGTCTGGCCTCTCTGCCTAAAAAGCCGGCATACAAAAGTAGAAGGCATACTCGGACAACATCGACGTCATTCATCCGAGTAAAACCATCTTTCTTATTAAACAATTTCTTCATGTCGTCGACGTGTAAGTTCGGCTTCTCTATTGACTCATCAGGAAAAACCCTGGATAACCATGATGGGCGGGTGATGACGAGTGTACCGGCCTACATCATCGTGTCCGAATCGTAGACCAGTGATTAAGCAGAACTCCTTCCGCCCAAAACAGTATACGCCGGTGGAAAATGAAACCATATCTCTTCCTCACCACGTTGATACTGTCGGGTAGATCACTAGTCATGGTCTGAAGCCACAAATGGGTCAAACTAGCATCTCCACCCTGCTGTCTCAGCCATGGCCCGAAGCAGGTTTCTTCAAACAATTTCTTTGTGCAGGTGAAAGCTTCGAAGCAATTGTAGTGGCTAGGCTAACTTTATTCCTTAATGTCAATGAAGCCGAAAAAAAAAAAATTTCTACAAAAAAACAATAAACATACCAAGTTAGATATACCAAAATTACACTGTCAAGATATACCAAAAACAAAACAAAACATAAATAGTAGTTTATTCTTGAAACTAAAATTTGCAACACTATTTTTGTCTTTTGGTTGAAATGAAAATCGCAACGAGATAATGAGAATCGCAACGCGGAAATGACTATCGCAACGAGAGAATCGCAACGCGAAATGAAAATCCCAATGCGATTTTGGTTTCGCGTTGCGATTTTTTTTCGCGATAGTTATTTCCGCGTTGCGATTTTCATTCTCGAAACTATTCTTCTTCTGCATTACTTCAACCAAAGACAAAGCAAAGACAAATACTAACTTCACAGGATAAACAGTTTAGCAGTATTGGCAGCAATCGAATGAATTTAATAAGAAATCTAAGTGAAATGGTTAATCTATTATTGAAATTACCAGTAAACTTATCATCAATCTCAATATGAAAAACCTAAAATAATGCAAAAATTTCAAAAAAAAAAAAAAAACCTAACCCTCGGAGGTGATTTTCCATTTCTGAATGATTGTGAGGGATTTTTGACTGTGAATGGTTTTGTGAGGGATTTCGCCGGCGATGGGGAAGGAAATCTTCGGAGATGGGGAGGATTTCGCCGTAGAGAGTGAGAGATGGAGATGGGACTGAGTGTTGTGTTTTTGGGTTTGAGGTTATGAGTTGCGATTACTGTGGACGGTTCAGTTTCCGATTTATTAAGAAAATTCGTGTTTGGAATTTGAAAAAAAAACACTTAATACGAATGGCGCTATGTAAATCGCGTTGCGAAAGTCAGAATCGCGTTGCGAAAGTCAGTATCTCGTTGTGATTTTGTATTATCGCATTGCGATAGTAAGTATCGCATTGCGATAGTCAGTATCGCATTGCGATTTTCCCAATTCGCGTTGCGATTTACTTATGCATTGCGAATTGGGAAATCGCAACGACATTGTATACCATCGCAACGCGATTTCCAACTATCGCAACGCGAAATGCAACGCGAATTTGCGATAATGGATCGCGTTGCGAATTAGCGATCGCATTGCGATTTTGTTGGTCATTTTGGCAAATCCGGAAAAAGTTGGTTAAAATCGTATATTTATGGGGATTTTTGGTCACTGAGGTTATTTTCTCTTATATATATATATATATATATATATATATATATATATATACCTTGCAAGCAATCACAATACTCGACCCTTTATCAGGCCTAAAGATCTGGCCATAAGGACTGGATCTATTGGTACCGGGTTCAAGATCCATGAGAACCGCACGAGGAACGTACCTTCCACCGGAAGCCTCGTTGTAATACACATTGATTCGCTCCAATTGAAGATCAGAGGATCCATCTCCTTGTCCTTGGTACATTCCCATGGGATCCACGCCATGCTCGCCGCAGATGACTTCCCAAAACTTGGCGCCGATTTGGTTCCCGCATTGGCCTCCTTGAACGTGAAGGATTTCTCTCATGGTTGAAAAAATGGATGGATCTGAGGTTTGAATGCTAATAATATAGGGCTGAGAATGATGATCCTTCGTTTTTTAAGGATCGTCTGTCACGAGTCATGAGCAGGACAAATTGGCAAGGGTGAACGGCGCGCACTTTAGAGAGTTTGTTAAGTGTACGCGCCACCATTTCACAAATTCTAGATAATATTACCGAATTTCGGCGTGACTCAGTTTGATTAATTATGGTGCATTTGAAACAGATTGAAGTAGTAAGTATATCTTATTATTTTAAAATATTTATAAAATATAATTTAATATATTAAAAAGAATGAGAAACAAATTATATCATTTTTTGGGAAAAATATTTATAAAAAAATTAAACTCCAATTTTTTTAAATTTTTACATCCATCGATGATTCGTAACAATTATTTTAACTAAGTTATATATAAAAAAACTTAATCACATGGAAATTTAGTCAAATTGGGATAGAGAAGGAAAAGAAGGCCCAGGCAAATGTAGTGGACCTTGAAATGACATAATTGGATTTTTACAGACAAAAAACAAAGATCCACTGGTTCCAAGAAGGGGATTTAAATACAAAATTCTTTCATCAAAAGGTTGAGTCAAAAAAGAAGAAAAATACTATAAGAGTTATTAAGAATGAAAATGGGCAGTCCTTTGAGACATTTGATGGCATGGATGCTGAATTGCTAGATTTCTATGGCAAGCTTATTGGTGTTGTTGACCCTAAAGTTGTGAGCTGCTCTTCTGAATGGCTTAAGGATCTCCTGGGCAACTCCTTGCCTGTTGATGCAGAGAGGATTCTTGAGGGAGAGGTTTCAGATAGAGAAATTAAGGAAGCCTTGTTTAGGCAAAGGAAAGACAAAAGTCTTGGGCCAGATGGCTACACCTCCTGGTTCTTCAAGGTTGCTTGGGAAATTGTGCACAAAGACTTCCTCAGTGCAATGAGGTATTTTTTCCAGACCTCATACCTTTTTCCTGCATTCAATACCACCACTTTAGTCTTAGTGCCTAAGTCTTTAAATGCTAGTATGGCCAAAGAATTTAGTCCTATTTCCTGTTGTTATGTTGTTTACAAAACTATAACTAGGATTTTGGTCTCTAGGCTAGCCCAATTCTTTCCCAAGATGATTTCTGCTAGCCAATCCGCTTTTGTTAAGGGCAGAAGTATCACAGATAACACTTTACTAGCACAGGAAATTGTTAGGGGTTATTCTAGAAAGAACCTCTCACCTAGGTGTGCAATTAAAGTGGACATGCAGAAAGCTTTTGATTCATTTAGCTGGGATTTTTTGTTAAATGTTATGGGTGCTATGGCGCTGCCTGCTAGGTTCTGTAACTAGATCAAAATTTGTGTTACCACCCCAGGTATTCAATTCTCTGAATGGAAGCCTTGTTGGGTTTTTTCGAGGTGCTAAGGGTGTTAGACAAGGGGACCCTCTGTCCCCTTATCTGTTTGTGATAGTCATGAATGTGCTATCCAAATTGCTTGATGCTGCAGCCAAAAACGTAATTTTCAGATTTCATCCTAGATGTAAAGAATCTCTCTTACACACATCTGTTTTGCTGATGATTTTATTTTGCCATGGCTACATGGATTTGGTGCAGGGAGTGACAAGTATTTTAAATGTGTTTTATGAATTATTTGGGCTCAAACTCAATGTTATGAAGACTGAGCTTTTTACTTGTGGGATTAATGGGGATGATTTGGTATATATTCAAAGGACAATTGGTTTTAGGGTTGGTCAACTCCCTGTCAGGTACTTGGGGGTGCCCCTAGTGACCCGGAAACTCTCTAAGAAAGACTGTGCAGCTCTGCTCGGAAGGATCAAGGACAAGCTAAGGCAGTGGTCTAGTAGAAAGCTAAGCTTTGGTGGTCGGCTGCAGTTTATAAAAGCAGTTTTGTTCAGTATTTTTAATTACTGGAGCATGTAACTCATTTTGCCTAAGGGAATCATTCAGGAAATATAAAAGAGTTGTATGAGATTCTTTTGGAAGGGCAGTGATTCTTCTGCTCGAGGTGCAAGGGTTAGTTGGAGCCAGATTTGCACAACTAAGTTTGAGGGTGGTTTGGGACTGAAGAGTCTGCCTGGGTGGAATAAAACTTGATGTCTATTACTAATTAAAAACATTTTAGCAGATGTTGGTTCTCTATGGATTGCCTGGATTAAGGCTTACTGTCTTAAGGGTAAGGATTACTAGAACATTGATAGCAGACCTCACTTCAGTTGGATTCTCAGGAAACTAATCAAGTTGCGTGAGGAGGCAAGAAGGTTATTTACTGCTTCGGTATGTTGGTCACAAGTAAATGGGAGCTGGATTTGGGATAAGATTCGGGAAAAGAGAAGCAAAGTGGCCTGGCACCGTATCATCTGGTTCCCTGCCCATATTCCCAAGTTCTCGTTGATCACGTGGATGGCAACTCTTGATAGGCTGCTTACTAAGGAGAGGTTGAGCAGATTTGGCATGGTGGTTGATGCTAATTGTGTGTTTTGTGGTGCTGAGCAGGAATCCAGAACACATATTTTCTTGGACTGCTCTTTCTCAAATGAGGTATGAAACGTTGTTTTGTAGCTTTGTGGGCTGCAAAAACGTTGGTTGAACTGGGATGATTTGCTCTGTTGGTGGGTAAGGAATTTAAAAGGTAGATCCCTGCTTGTTCAAATCCTCAAACTAGCTTGGACTAGCTTCATTTACTACATATGGGAGGAGCATAATCACAGAATTTTTAGAAGTGTGATGCGTTCGACTGATTCTATTGTCAATATTATTAAAGAGGCTGTTAAAATTAAAGTGTATAGATATAGTATGAATAGGCAGGATAATGTAAATAGACAGTTGTACATTGATTGGGGCATGATATAATTGTCCTTATGTTTTCTGTAGCAGCTTGTTGCTTCTTTGGATGAATATAAATTGATTATCCAAAAAAAACTTAATCCCTCTTTGAAATCATCTAAACCCTGAATCATCATTTGAAATATTTTGATATCAAATATATCGTAAATGATAGCCAGTGAAGATTGAACAAAGGTAAAAAGGGATGATTATTATGGGAAAAAAAGAATATTAAAATTTTAGGTCAAATTCAAATACAAAAAGTTTCAAATCTTGGCGTTTGCGAATGGAGCAAACTGGGTTTAGAGGATGCCCTCGCTCTACAGTACTCGATCTGTATTAGTCGATCATTAGATCGGATATCAGTGATTAATTCAAAAAAAAATTAGGTCAACTTCAAATACAAAAAGTTTCAAAACATTTCTTCAAGGTTGCTTGGCTATCGTTGGAGCTGATTTTATTGATGCCGTAAAGTTTTTCTTTGGCTATTCGACTCTGCTTCCTGTTTTGAATTCTAAGGTCTCGGTCCTTGTCCCCAAATCCCAAAATGCTTGCAAGAATATTTTACTTACTCTTGTTGCATAGTGGTCTATAAAACAATCACTAGGATTATGGTTGACAGATTGACAACTTTTTCTTTATAAAACAATCACTAGGATTATGGTCGTCAGATTGACAGCTTTCCCCCCATATATTATCTCTCTAAGCCCCTTCATAAAGGGTCGGAATATCATCGATAGCGCAGGAGTAGGTTGTTGGGTACGCTCGTAAGTCTCTTTCCCTCGTCGTGCGCTTAAAGTGGAATCTTCAGAAGGCGTTTGATAGCCTTAACTAAGATTTTGTATTGACTATTTTGGATGCTCTTGGTTTATCTGAGAAGTTCAAACAGTGGATCGAAGCTTGTTTGACCACTCCTAGGTTCTCTGTTGCGTTTAATGAGAATTAGGTTGGTTTTTTAGGGTGCTAGGGGTGTGAGGCAGAGAGATCCCTTGTCCTCTACCTCTTCGTCCTCTCAATGAATGTTTTATCCCGTATGTTGGACATAGCTGCTTGTCGCGGCATCTTTTATTTTCACCCAAGTGTAAAAAAATTTAGCTTGACGCATTTTTTCTTTGCCGATGATCTTCTTATATTCTTCAATAAGATTGAACATGTGCTGGTATTGAGTTCTTTACTTCTTCTTCTATAACTTTTTTTAACAGCTTTTGAAAGCTGGCATTGGCTTGATCAATTACTCGATATATTCATTTCCTTGAACATATGATCAGCAAATTGTACATGTGTTGTTTGAAAATTTATTGGAATCGTTCTTCCTTTCTTTTCCATTTTTTTCCGATCAGTATCGATGTGTTTACCTCTCCTTGAACAACTGACCATGTCCATTTGCTCTTTATTTATTTATTTGGCAGTGGACTATTCAATATCAAAATTATGTTTACTGGAATACTCAGCAACATACCCACGACTATTTGAGAAACTCAATGCTCAACATAAGTCTAAGAGCTTTGTTTCAAGAGTCACCATTATTATATACTTACTCTACAGCAGTCACTTTATTCTCACTTAGTCGACAGACTATTCAATTCAACTCGATCATTTGAAGCTTTTTCCAATTACTTCAGGATGCAAAATAGAACATTCAACACCAATTCTTCATCTCAACAATAAAGACTAGCAACAATTTTAACATACTAATCTTCAGCAAGTAGTCCATTCATCCAACAAATCACGTGAAAGATACTAGTAAAGAAAAATGATTAAGATAACAACTGAAAGATTCCAGACCTTTAAACAAATCAGTGAGCAAGCATACCGGTGAAGAGTGACAAATCAGATTAAAGTGACAGACGTAAAATAGCAACACCAGCGCATCAGAATCAGATTAATAGATCAGAGACGGAGATCAAATATAGCAACAAATCTTCAACGACATGCATCAAATCTGATGAACAAAAACCAAGGAGAGATGAAGAGGCGTAGATGAAATTCATGACAGAAGGCAACGGTGTTTGAATCATTGGCATCAGTTTAATCAGACGTGTAACTGAATCGGCAATGAAGCGGAAGAGATGGCCACAAGATCATCGACGAATGATACCATGTGAGAAAGGAGGCATGGTGGCCAAGAGATGCCCAAAAGGTAAACGACAGTGAATGGAGATGAGAAGCTGTGAAAGAGTTGGCTAGAATTATTAGAGGACATTCTTTTACTCAATGTGAAAATGAATTACAAAATGCTTGGATTAAAACCCTCTTCTAAGCCAGGCTTTATATAGCCCAAATTACAATCAAATATTAACTACTTATTACTAACAAACTTCCATCTAATTATAGTTACTTCTAACTATATTCTAACATTATTTAACTCAAATATATTCAAAAATCAAAGTTTGACAAAGATATGATCAGTCGAGCGAGCCTATCTTTATCTTATATGATCGAAAAGAGTATAAATTTTTCAAACAATTTCAACTACTAATCTTGTATTTAATTTTAAAATAAATATTTTTTTCAAAAAAATACCTACAAAGGTTAGTTAATCAAATTCTAATAATCATAGAAGATTAGGGATGAGCATCGGTCGGATTTTTGGTCCACCCGACCCAACCCGAGAACAATGACTCATCCACTCGAGATCCGACCCGATCCGCATGAAACAAGATTTCACCCGACTCGAACCCGACCTGATATATAACTTAAAAACCGATCCGACCCGACCCGAAATAATAATAAAAATATTATTTTTATTCAATAAAAACAATTACTTAATTGAAAGAAAAAATATATAGGGGGATATTATTGTAATTATTCCTAAATATATAAGGTAAAATTATATTTTTTGCAGGTCGGATCGTGTATTTTCACCCTAAATCCGAACCTGACCCCGACACGAACATCACATTTTAAAAAAAATCGACACGACCAGACCCGAACTCGAATTTTTTATTTAAAAAAATCTGACACAATCGGGTCGGGTCGGAACCCTTCAGGTTCGGGTCACATGTCCATCCCTATGAAAGATATTAATGATATCATAAACATCATTAGAATCCAATAAGACCCATGGATTACTATATGTAATGCTAAATGTTTGAAATCATATCATTTAAATAATGTATATGATTCGAATATCAATATATATAAATTAAATAAGTAGAATTGAATTATCCTCATAATAAATTATATAATGTTTAATTTAAAAAGTAATTAAATATTAATGATTATAAAAAATATTTGATATATCATTTTGTGCTAAATGAAGAAAATAGTTGTAATTTTTATTTTTGAGAAAAATAGAAACAAGGAGGAGAAAAGATGATATTATTAGTAAGTTGTAAATGAGAGGAGGGGTTGTTGATAGAAGCTTACGCTCAAACCGCAATTGTTATTTGTGATTTGTCCTGAAATTCCTCCCCCCGTCTTTCCATTCATTTGGCCACATTTCCCCCTTCTCTTTCTCTCCACCTTTTCTCTTTCTTTTAACTTTGCTTTTTTCTCTCCAACCTCTCTTTGATCCTTAGGGTTTGCCTTTTGGAGACAAATGATGAAGCCTATGGATCCTCATTCATTGCTAAACATCAACTACAACAACGTCAACCAAATCTGAGAGGTAACAGAAAACGAACTTCAAATTTTGTGGAATTTTCGAAATAATATTCGACAGAGGAGTAAAAACCAGGATTTTGGCGGTTTTTTCGTACGGCGGCGAAGGAGTATGAGCGCCTCAAGATTCATAAAATGTGTCACCGTCGGCGATGGCGCCGTCGGAAAGACTTGCCTGCTGATTTCATACACCAGCAATACTTTTCCTACAGTGAGCCTGTTTCCTGCATTTTCGGATCTTTGTTGCTTGATTGAATTATTTATTAGCTTTTTAAATCTTCCGTCTGGTTCAAGCTGAATTTTTATATATGGATAGTATCAACTTAATGTGTAAAACTCTCTAATTTTACATTGATTTAAGATCATTGGATAAAATGTAAATTGATGTCTGACATTAACTCTTTGTGCATCGACTGTTCTGTATTTCTGCAACCTTGAATTTCCTGTGAAATTTAGCTATTTTTTATAAATGCTGTGAAGATTGTTGTTAATGCCATACAATGTAGGCATATGCATATCAGGTGCAACCTGATCTCTTTGCAATTACTGGAAATTCCTTTTGAATTTAAACCAAGATTGGTGTTTTATGCTCCTGCTACTGATTTTCTTTATTGGGTACATTTATGGCAACAGGATTATGTCCCAACTGTTTTCGACAATTTCAGTGCAAATGTTGTTGTGGATGGCAATACGGTCAACATAGGTTTATGGGATACTGCCGGTAATTTGGATAATAGTTTCTGGAATTCCTCTTCTATTTTTTTTGTTTTCTTTCTTGCTCTTGGTTCTGAAATCGTTTCCTTGAAAACAGGTCAGGAGGATTACAATAGATTAAGACCACTGAGCTATCGCGGGGCTGATGTCTTTATTCTTGCATTTTCTCTCATCAGCAAGGCCAGTTATGAAAACATCGCCAAGAAGGTCGAACCGTTGAACGCCTTCTCGTTCGAGATAATAATTTGGTACAGTATATCTGTAGTGCATGTCCCTACAATTCACGAGTGTTTCTTTCTTTCCATTTCAGTGGATTCCTGAATTAAAGCATTACGCACCTGGTATTCCAATAATACTCGTTGGAACTAAGCTTGGTATGATTCTTAATCTCGGGATAATGAGATTCTTATGTATTATTTCAATATCCAAGCGAATGAAACTATTCTCAAATTGGTGGCGTACCCTTTTATTAGTATTCGTGTTTTCCACTCTTTGCTCCTGCAGATCTTCGGGATGATGAGCAATTCTTAGCAGACCATCCGGCTGCAGTACCTATAGCCACGTCTCAGGTGAATATCTAGACATTATTAATTATCATTAGTATTTGTTGGAATATGTTTCATTTATTGAATATTTGTGTTGAATTTCTTTTTTTTCTTGAGGGAGAGGAATTAAGGAAACAGATAGAGTCCCCTGCCTACATCGAATGTAGTGCAAAAACACAACAGGTCAAATATTTCTCTAAATGCACTTCTTATTTTTCAAGTGAAAAACTGTGTTGAAGCCTCTCTTGTAGCTACCATGAGATTTTTTGTGAATGCTTTACTGCAGAATGTGAAGTCAGTCTTTGATGCGGCGATTAAGGTAGTGCTCCAGCCTCCCAAAAAAGTTAAGAAAAAATCATATGGTGGTTGCTCGGTATTATGATCAATAGAACTTTAAAGTCTTACAGAGATGGAGGACCTGTCAGCTTCTTTTTACTGTCAAATTTTTTTAATATTTTTTTTGGTATAATTCAAGGAAGCAGTAAGCCCATCATGTATAGTCTCAAACTGAAAATCCAGGTATTTCTTTGAAAGCATTATCAGGTGGTATGTTTCGTGTTTTAGTTATTTTTTAATGGTTCATATGTAATTGACGATAAGCATTTCATTTTATGAAGTAAAACTGCACTCATGTATTTACCAGATGTGAAGAATACCTAGCACCATTTTATTAAATCACAGTGTTGTTGCATGATGTTTAAAGGTTCATTTTGGTTCATCAACACATGCATTCTTCACCCACATCCACTTCACAAACCCCAACAAAACTTAAAAGAGGAAGTCTCGACTAAAATTCCATGAATGATGAGTCACCCAAGCCAAGCGGGATATCTCAGGAAAGGCGGGCTAATATACGCGTTACCAGATACATTAAAAGATATTTAATAAATTCGTTTAGTGTTACCGGAAATGTTGAGTAATAATAATGTAGTAGGTCTAAATCATGAAAATATTAAAAATTTGGCAACGGCAAACTTAGCTTGTCGGTTTATGTCGTTACTTTATAAAAATGTATCGATCTACATCAATATAATAGGAAAAAATATAACAAAATCGGTCACGAAAAGACAATCGATAAAGCGCTATCGGTTATATTGCAAGTGTCGATATTTGAATATAAGTATCGACAGATAGTGAATTTAAAGGAGAAGCAGTTTTAGCGCCTATAAAGTGTCGATTCTTTATAAATATGTATCGATCCACAACAATATAACATGTAAAAATATGACAAAACCGTTAGGAGAAGACAACCGGTAAAGAGATACCGGATATATTAAGTGTCGATACTTTAATATAAGTATCGACACTTTGTGAATTTAAAGGAGAAACAATTTTAGCGCCTATAAAGTGTCGATTCTTTATAAATATGTATCGATCCACAACCATATAACATGATAAAATATGATAAAACCGGTCTCGAAAAGACAAAACCGGTAAAGCGCTACCGGATATATTGAAAGTGTCGATAATTTAATATAAGTATCGACACTTTGTGAATTTAAAAGATAAGTAGTTTTAGCGCCTATAAAGTGTCGGTACTTTATAAAAATGTATCGATCCATAACGATATAAAAGGTAAAAATATGATAAAACCGGTCTCTAAATGACAAAACCGGTAAAGCGCTACCGGATATATTGAAAGTGTCGATACTTTAATAAGTACGCGTAATAAAGTCGATATTTTCAAAGAAATAGGTAATTATACTATTGAAAGTATCGACACATGACATAAAAGTATCGACACTTTTGTAGTTGTATCGATTAAATAGAAATTACAAATCCGTAAAAATATAAAGGGCATAGCTAAATATCCTCTGAAAAATAGATAGAACATACGAGTTTTTGAAATCGAAGCGTAATTGTTGCTGCATTTCAGAAGGCGTTTCTAAAGCGAAGTTTGTTTGTTTGTTGTTGCAGTCGAATCGAAAAGTACGTTGTCGAAACCCTAGTTTTTTATTATTACAGTAATCGAAAATAAGGTTTTTATGTGTTGTTTGGGGTTTTCTAAGTAAAGAAGCATTTGAGACTGATTATAGATAGAAAGTGATATTCTAGGTAAAATATAAATATAGATACTTTTATTAAATATTATAGGTAAAAAATGATATTATAGGTTGTATAAATGTGTCGAAACTTGAAGTATTGAGTGTTCTCATTCGTTTGAAGGAAATAGGGATTAGGGTTTTTAGGTTTGGTTTGGAGATTTTGAATTGAATCCAAGAAGGATTTGGGACCGATTATATAAATATTATAGGTATAAAATAAATATGGATACATGTATATAATATTATAGGTAGAAAATGTTATTTTAGGTTGTATAAATGTGCCGACACATTTTGTAGTGGTCATTCAAATTATTTTGAAGAAAACTGTTTTACCACAAGAGTAGTTATCTATATTTGTATATTGAATAAAGTGTATGTAACAAGTATTTGATTTGATTTGCTTAAACTGATATATGAAGGAAAAATGGAGTCAATGGGTGGAAATATTGTTGGTGGCGCAGAGGACTTTGAAATTGAGGCCGAGACTCGAAAGCAACCAAAGGGTGGATATATGTACTTCTAGTAAGTATCAATGTTTTTTTGTTATTATTGTTGAAATGGTAATTGGATTAAAGTATTTAAGAACTTCAAATTGATGATAAATTTTAAATGTTGACAGTATGGCCGAATGTAAAAGGATGAAGGAAGGTGACGAACACATCGGTTCAGTATGTAAATTGAAATTGACATTGAGTATTATTTAGTGTTAATGTATTGATTAAAAAACGTTTATGCTTAATATTAGGTGAGAAATGATGTGTTGGAGAAATGGAATTCGATGACTGATGCTCAGAAGGAACCTTACATCGCACGGTCAAAGATGGATAGTGAGGAATACAAAGAATGGAGGAAAGCACATGAAAAGAGGTATTCATTAAACTTGTAAATACGTTGATACAAAATATATAAGAACTATAACATTATATATTGTTAAAAAAATATAGGAAGTGTCGACAATGTGCAGCATTAAAATGTTGAATTCATTAATTATACACTTTAAGGAGAAGGGTCAGTTGAATGTGCTGTGAGAAATGGGGTTTGGATCATTGGTAGGAGAAAGGGATCGACCTATTCGAGGGAATTGTGTCGATCCTTGATGACGCAATTTGATGTCAAACAATGTATTGCTAAATATGGTGATTTTTTATTTCCTCTCGAGAACCCATGTGCTGCAGCTGTCTTGGGGGTAGGAAATGAAGGCAAAAGTGTTGTAGAAGTCTCTAAGAGTAAGGATTGGAAAGCACTTGCCTCCAAATATGGTTTGAAGCAGAAGGTGACATATGTTGAACTTGAAGAGGAAATCAAAAGTGTATCTTACGGGGGGATGAGTTGAAGGCCCGAGTTCTATTGTACATTGTCGGGATCTTTCTTTGTCCAACGGGTGATACGTCAACGAACAAGGACTATATGAAGCTCATTTGCGATGAAGGCTTGAAGGGTGAATTCAATTAGGCTGAATATGTCCATTCGAGATTGATTGAATCAATAATCAACTTTAAAAAGAGCAGCCAAGATACCTCAAGGGATACATAGCAATCTTAAGGTAAATGAGTATAAGAACGTTTTTGTTTTTTTATATAAAATGATAATATAGTTATTATATAAAATTATAAATTTTATTATAAATGCAGGTTGCATTGTTCGATTTTTGGTCGGGCTGTGAGGTAGTGTCGGCTTATGAAAGAACCGGAGTGGCATGCATCCGTGCATGGGGGAAGGAAGAGGTGGTTAGAGTGATGGAGAAGTTGAAGTTGGATAGACCAAGGAAGCAAGAAAGGGTAATAAATGTAATTAAATAATATTAAGAATATAATCAATGTCTTAATATTGTAATTTAATTTTGAAGGTTATTGGCAAGGATGTAGTGGAGGCAGAGAAGAAGGAAGAAGAGATGGTTGTATTGGGGGATGACAGTGAGGGAAAACAGAGTAAATTAGATATTTTGATGTTTGAATTAGCTGATATCAAAAAATCCAATTTGATATCATGCAAAGACAATCAAGAGTCGAAGAGAAACTTGAGAGAGTCGAAGAGACACTTGAGAGACATAAGGGGAAGTGGAAGGAAAAATAGATGGAGTGGTGAAAGAAGTTGAGATGTTGAGGGGTGAACTTAAGATGGTGATGGGTGAAAAAATTGATGGAGTAGTGAAGGAGGTTGTGGAATTGAGGAGTGAACTACGGGGGTGAAGGGGGTGGTTGATGAATACTTGGATGAAGGGGAAAAATTGATGGGTGAAATAAAATAGATGAAGAGCTATGTAGAGCAAAAATACGATGAACTGAAAAAATATGAAGAAGAAAATAGAGAGGAAGAAGAAAAGAGGAGGAAATAAGGAGGAAGGATGTCGATGTGATCTATACACCGGAGAGTGTTATAGATGCAGATTTGGATTCAGAATGTCCTGCACCCCAGAAGAAGAAGCAGAAGGTAAGTTGAATAAAAGAAAACTTAATTTGATCTTTATCATGTTGTTTGACAAAAATTTGTATGCAAAATTGTAGGTTGAAAAAGTGGATATTCCAAGCGGAATTGATGACATCGAAGCTGCAATTTGTGATTATTTATGGAATAGTGGGTTAGAATCGGGGTAAGTGAAATATATTGGTTTGTGAGTGATATTTAAATATTTCATGACAATATATTAATCCTAATGATTCATATAGATATTCTGTAATCTCATGGGAAATCAATTCGCTAATATATCCGACGTTGCAACGTTGAAGCCTACGGAATGGGTTGGCGGTGTGGTAAGTAGAAAGTACAAAATGTTAAAACCTATTGAATATTTTCTGATTGTGTAATTAATTTTGTTAGGTTATTGATTTGCTCGCCTGGACAGTATGCTACGATTCGAAAAAGTCACTCCGGGGATTGGCTATCTTCCATACCACTTAGCGGTGAGTTAAATTAATAAATGTTGAAAAGTAGTGTTATAGACGGTATATTAATAATGATTGTCGCGTAAGTGCAGCAACAGGCATTGGATGCCAACAACAAAGTAAGTGTTGAGAGTATTTCTAACTTTTGGGGTCTTATATTGGGTAACTATGTAAAATTCACCGACTGTGAGAATGTAAGACACCATACGAATTGCAAATGATGTTTTCGGATATAGAATGTTGAATTTTGTCAAATTGGGTGTGAAATTTGTTGAACATCATATCACAATAAACTACCATAATTAACATTGGTATATATTGGTGTTGGATATGGTAGATCGTGTTGCAACATTATATGATAGTTTGTTTACATCTGAAGCAGCTAAACAGAGAGTGAATGATGCTAAGTGATTGGTATGTATGAAAGGACAATATGTAAATTATAATGCATATTTTGTTTGGATCATAACTTCATAATTTTTAAAGCAGATGAAAATATTATATAGTTATAATAAGAAACGCAATTGGGTAGAAGAATGTGGATCTCTAGGAAAGTTCCCCTTGAAAAATTTCAAATTTATGGAGCATAAGAAGAATGAGCAATTGAATGGGTATGAGATGTTATCATAAATAGAAAGCTTAATTTATGCAGGTTTCATAATTGACATTGTGGTTTTCAAATTTTGTTACAGATATGATTGCAGCATGTATGTGATGATGTGAA